GAGGAGTGCACCAGCCGGGCATCAGCCTGGGTATTTTTCGTCCGGGGGTCCCCAGGGGTCGCCACGCGCGCGCGAACTAGAAATATTGCCAACCTGTCACCAGAGATCTTAGCACGCCTTTGGCCCGTTGAGCCGGCGAATTTTCCAGGAGAGCCTGAACTCAACGTATTTTATCAGCCTTCCAACTTGCATGTTTTTACTTACTTCTTTACTTCTTCCGACCGACCAGCATCGCCGTTAGCGTGGCCGTGGGAGTCGCTAGCCCAGATGCGGCCGCTGTTGCGCATCGTCTCCTTTTTTTCCGTCCTGCCTCGGGCGTGCCAGCGGCTGGAGCAACGCACCGCCTGTTCGGCTCCGCGCCCAGGCCGCCCAGGGCTGCGCCCTCTCCTCCTCCCCCTCCTCTTCCACCTCCATCTCCTGCCCCTCCTGCTCCTGTTCCTTCTCCTCCTCCTTTTCCTCCTCCTCCTCCTCCTCCTCCTCCTCCTCCTCCTCCTCCTCCTCTCCCCCTTCACCTCCTCCTCCTTCCCCTCCTCCATCTCCTCCTCCATCTCCTTCTCCTCCTCCTCCTCCGTAGCCGTTTTGGCTCAAGCCAATTTGGTTCAAGTTCGTAGCGGGAGGCTCAGCGACTTGAGATTTGGCAAAAGGGAGGTGCGCCCCCACCAGCGATCACTGGGCCGCGCCCAGGTTTTCACACGGAACCCGTTCAGGGATTTTCCAGTACAGTAAGTTGTGCCCCACTGGCACGGTTCGTGTTCTTGTGAGCTCCTGGCGGAGCCCATGGTGGGCAACGATGCGACGAAACAGTTCCTCTCATGCACGAATTGTCGATACCGCTGGAACTGGAAATCGAGGTCTGATTGCTACTTGTGCGGCGCTGCCCTCGTCCCAGCAATCCAACCGCCGTGGCGGAAGACTCATGGAGTGTGTCGGAGGCAGGAGGTGAGGGCCAGTGGCAGCGGCAGCCGGCTCAACCGTGAGGGTCTTGGGTGCCTACCCGCATTCACGCATCTAAACCATCGGCGCCGCCGCAGCGCGGCACGGGCGATTCCTCGGTCGCCTAGCTCCTGGAACAGCTCCGGCAGCACGCCGGCAAGGACGCAGGTGCCCAGGAACTCCAGGCCATCGTGCATGCGGTGGCACCTGAGCCAACGGCCGCGTCTCGGCAGCCATTGCTGGAGGAGACCATCAGCGCGAAGGGGATTGCGTGTCGCAGGGCGGAGGATGTGCTTCAGCAGGCGGTGCAGCAGGAGGACGAGGCGCGGCGTTGACTGGAGGACTGCAGGAAGAAGACGGCGGCGGCGGCGGCTCATTCGGCCGTGCTGGCCAAGGCAGAGTGGCAGGCTGAGCTCAAGTCGGAGCTCCAGCGTGCGGCGCCAGGCACAGTTGTGCCAGAGGCGACGCAAGTACCAGCAGGGTCGCACATCGACCTGTCGCAGGTGCTCGCGGATGGGAGTGGAGATCGTCGACGGAGACCTCCTCGACCTCAGCGGCCTTGAGGTTGAGGAAATCGAGCGGATCGAGTGGCTGGAGCTCTAGGGCAACATGGCTAAGGAGCTCCAGAAGGCCATCGTAGCGGCAACTGGGCAAAGTGCGGAGAATGTCCAGAAGCTCCGTGCTGAGGCCAGGACGATGCGCCAGCGCTTGGCTGCCAATCGTGCCTGCAAGGATGGCGCGGCATTCATCTCCAGCGGGGAAAAGTCGGCGATTCCTGGGGGTGCTTCTGCTCCTCCCCCTTCCAATGCGAGCGCTGGGGCTAGCGCCCGTGCAGGAGGAGGTTCAGCAGGCTCAGCATCTCCTGCCGCCCCAGAAGCACAGCTGCAGCAGTCGGCGGCAGCGGCGCCCAGCGCGGGGGAGCTGCAGACAGCAGTCGCGGCGGCCAGAACGAAGCTGGCTGGGGGCGCCCAGGGGGGCCTCTAGCGCGGGCCCGCCTCTGATGGGGGGGCCGCCAACGAGAGCGGTCCCGCGGGCAGACCCAGACAGAGGCAGTCGGGAGTTGGTTGAAGCGATGACGAGCGGGGGCGCCAAGTGGATGTGGAACATCGAATGGGGGACCACGTGGACCAGAGCGCCTGGCAGCAATGATGCGTGGAGTACTTCGCCAGTTTTTTCTTGCGAGATCCAGGGCGCGCCCAGCTCGGGTGGGGCATGATCAGGTGGTGCAGTGGTCGCGCCAGGTGGGGCCATGGGCGTGAGAGCCCTGGTGATCTGGAGCAGGCGGTCATGGGAGCGTGCGTGGGGGCCTGGTCCACTGGCATGCGGGACAGGCGAGCCGTTCGAGACGCGAAGAGGTCCCTGTCTGGTTCCTCGTGGAATGCCTCTGCTGAGTATCGCCAGGATGAACTTGGAAGACTGCTGGTTTTTTCGTGAGCAGCTGGCAGGCGGGGGACAGCGGCATTTTTCGGGGCCGACGGAGGTCCTTGGGGTGCCCAGCCCAGGGCGGACCTTAAAGGGGGGCAGCGGGGCTTGGATCGAGGCGGCAGACGCGCGGGTGGTCGTTGCCCTCGCTCAGGTCCAGCCTTCTCCCTGGGCCACAGATGTGTAGGTGGTCGTTGCCCCGGAGAGGGGCGGCCTCCCAGGCGCGCCTGGGCCTTCAGAGGTTTTGGGGGGCCCGCCAGCGGGCAGACCCCGAAAGTGAGCAGCAGTCCGCTGAGGGAGACCGCAGGCGTGCGGGTGGTCGTTGCCCTCGATCAGGACCAGCCACTTTCCTGGGCCGCAGATGCGCGGGTGGTCGATGCCCCAGGAAAGTGCGACTCCCTGGGTGCGTCAGGAAGCGGTGGCGCCCCGGGGGGGCGCGAGATCTTGAGCGAGGCCGCAGGCGCGCGGGTGGTCGATGCCCTCGATCGAGCTCAGCCTCGTCGCGGACGCGCGGGTGGCCGAAGCCGCAGTGGCGAGTGCCCCCTCCCATGTTGCGGGGCGAAGCTTGGGGGGCCCGTGGGGCCCGTGGCAGGGCGGGCCCAAAAACTGGAGACGTCGACGATCATTGTCTATGGCGTGCCAGAGGCGCGTCAGGCCCAGACGTCTATGGGCGGCGAGCAGGATTTCGGGATCATGGTGGTCACTTACAATTCCAATGCCTGGGCGACGGCCAAGGAACGCCTAGAGCGGGCACGAGAGGTCAAATGGGTGCAGTTCGATGTTTGCCCCGCACAGGGCCGCAGGTTGGCGCGCGGGGCCTGGGGGGGAGTGGCCTCCGGGGGCGCCTCTGTTTTTGTCGGTTTGCATTTTTGGGGCCGTGCGTGTGCCCGCCAGCGCGTATCGGAGCGGTTGGTGGCTGCCTTTTCTGTTTGGCTTGGTCTATGGCCGCGCCGCCGTAGGGGCGACTGGGGTCAACGATGTCTTGCTGGAGCTCATCAGCGAACTGGTGGCCTCAGCTGGGTGCTCTTTTTACTCGGGGGCGACTGGGGCGTAGATGCGGGAGATCTCAGAGCGTCGTAGTGTGAGGCACTTGAGAGCGTCGGCTTTCCGGCCTCAGGAAGCCGCGTGCAGTCGACGCCGCTGTGCCTTTCTTGTGGCCTGCAGGTGTGCTGACCACCATGTCGCAGGTTGTCGGGCTCAGCTAGACGGGCCTGTAGGCCCACATGCGGTGGTGACGCGCGAGCTCGAGCATGGGGCGGGGCAGGCCAACGTCTGGCAGAGAGTCATATTCCCCAACCGCGTGATGGCCAAGAGCTGGACAGCGTGCGTTTTGCCGGACCATTGGAAGGCCCGTCTTTCGTGTGGCATCGTGGTTTAAAGCGGCGGAAGCTGCGCTGGGTGAAATTCGCGGTGTCATTGCCCCGTGGCACTTTTGCCGGGCCAAGGGCCGCCGAGTGCAACTGGTCCCCTTGAAGGCTTCGCGGCGCCAAGAAAAGGCATTGTCTGCCCAATTTTCCAGCGCAGGGATGGCTCTCATACCGCAGGCTAGCCATTAACTGTATGGTTTCGCCTTCTTTCGCAGCCCGCAGGGCCGCCTTCGCAGCCCTGAGTTTCGCGGGCGGGGGTGGCCTGGCCAAGGCGTGGCGCGGCAGAGGCTGGCGAGGTGAAATTTTTAGGAGGCCGCTCAATGAGCTGCTGCGTGCCAGGCATGACCCGCAGGGGGAGGGGGCGGCAGCTGCCGGGACTTGGGGGGTGAGGGTCACCATGTCTTGTGCGGCCTGGCCATAGGCTCGCACTGGGCCCAGCCCCGCCTGCGCGAGTGTAGGCCCTAACTGTCGAGCCACTGTCTCATCTGCGGGGAAGGGCCAGGGGCCTTCTCCCACCGTCACTTTCAGTGCCCGACTCGCCAGGGATAGAGGCGAGACGTCCTGCCCGCGGTGCTGGTCGACGCTGTGCGCAGGCTCGCCGCGGGCACGTTTGAGCTGCGCAAAAAGTGTACCCGCGGGATCCTCCCTGATCCCGTTCTCGCGATCCACATGGCGGCATTCGGCACTGTTGCTGGTGTTCAGGTTTCGCCGGGAGGCCATCTAACATCCGCTCGCATCTTTGGAAGCGCACTTTCGCAGGAGGACGACCGCCATGGGTTGCCTTCAAGAAGGTGGAGGCACGCGCGAGCATGAATGACGTGCGTGAAGGACGCATCACGCTCATTAAGCATGAAGGTAACAAGGTAGCCGATCGGTTGAGACAACAAGGTGCTGGGCTGGCGAGGAGAGACCCGTCGGTCGGTCTCAAGTCGAAGGGCGTGCTTTCCTTGGCAAGGGCCCTGCTCCGATTCATCAGCAGGGCCGAAGCCCACTGCCCAGGTTTAGGAGGTTCTGGTATGTTGCTGGAGTTTTGAAGCGGTGGCCGAAGTCCAACCGCTTATTCTCTTCTGCTCCGGTTGCGCAGACTATGTTAGATTTTCGCAGGGCTCCATCCCTGGGGCCCAGAAGAGAGAGGTGAGACACGGGCCAGAGGGTGGCCCGCCTGCTGTTGTCTGCATTGCTGGAGTTCTCCGAGCCCGTGGGCCGAACGAGCTTAAAGCGCGAACCCTTGGAGAAGTGGGCGAGCGCCCTGAAGACCAGGGCATCAACGCCGACTCAGACGGCTGATCGATTCTCCAGAGGGGGCCCTGTCACTGGCCATGGGCAGGTCTATGTCCGTCCTGCCCGTTGTCGACACAGGTCCATTCGGATGGGCCCCCTTGGGACGGAGAGCGGTTAGATTGTCGGACTTCTTTCTCCCCCCCATTCCCTTCAGTGGCCTGCGATCCTCCTCCTCCTCCTCCTTCCCCTCCTCCTACTCCTCCTCCTGCTTCTCCTCCTCCTCCTCCTCCTCCCTCGTCCTTCTCCTTCCCTCCTCCTCCTCCTCCTCCTCCTCCTCCTCCTTGTCGTTGTCCTCCTCCTCCCCTCCTCCCTTCTCCTCTCTCCTCCTCTCCTCTCCTCCTCCTCCTCCTCCTCCTCCTCCTCCTCCCCCTCCTCCCCATCCCCCCCTTCCTCCCCCTCGCCCTCCTCCCCCTCGTCCTTTTTTTTTTCCTCCTCCATTCTATGTCTTTATTAATAATTTCTCCCTGTCGCATCCCGAGGCCAGTTTTTCGGGTGGGCCGGGCGTTTCACCGGGGTTCCTCGCCATTCATGACTCTGAAGCTTACAATGTGGCAGCAGTTTTGCAGATGGAGGGCGGGTGGTTTTCAAAATGTGGTTCTCGCCTTAGCGCGGCGCACATTCGTTTTAACGGATTGAAGGCGAGTGGCTTTCAAAATTGGTTCTCGCGTTTGCGCCGCGCACATTCGTTTAAACACATTCAAGAGAATCGCGGATTTAGGGCGGGTGATTTTCAAAATTGTGGCTCTCGCCCCAGCGCGGCGCACATAGATTTAGGGCGGGTGGTTTTTAACATGTGGTTCTCGCTTCAGCGCAGCGCATATTCGTTTAACACATTGCACAGGTTTCACGGATTGAAGGTGGCTCCTTTTCAGCATGTGGCTCTCGCTTCAGCGCGGCGCACATTCGTTGTACAATTTTTCAACGGTTTCGCGGATGCCCATCATCAACGTACAAGCAATGGTGTTTTGGACGGATTCAGGAACGCCCGCGATTGGCGGGCCATTTTCAGAAACGCGATCGCTTGATATTTCCTCATTTCAATGGTCGAGCACTGGACACGAGATGCTCCAGGCAATGTTCGCCAGCGTGGGCCTTCACCAGTGTGTTTCTAGCAACATATAGTGGGCCAACTTGGTGCAATCTATTTGGTGTAATAGTTTTTTGTCGTACGAACGAGTCGACACATTCCATGCTCTTGTAAACATCCCACCCACCCACCCGCAACTTGGTTTGCAAAAGACATGCGGTGGCGCTTGCGATGAGTGTTTTGCGTTGGCTGGTCCATCTCGGCGGCCGCGCCGACCCAAGTACGCGCGCGCAGCGGCCAGGTAGTTGGGCGCGGCCGACGTGCGTGCGGTGGCGCTGACCGTTGGGCACATCCCAGCGGGCACCTCAGTGCGAGTCGACGATTTGGGCGGGCGCGGTATCATGGCAACGTCGACGACGGTAAACACGATGATGATCGTAGCGATGCTGTTGGCGATGTTGACAACGACGACGGCGCGGCCAGTGCGGGCGCCGATGCCGATCACGCCGACGACGATGACGGCGTCCTCGCGTCGGTGACGAGTTTTCTGAGCCTCCCCCGAAATGCAGAAAACTCTTCGGAAGGCGCGGGGGCTTCTGAGAAGCTCCGCCGCCCTCTGAGAAGGCCTCCTCCCTTTCACTTCCCCTCCTCGCTCCGCCGCCGACAGTCGTCTTACGTCGGGCATGTCCCTCTACGGGAAGAATATTCAAAAATAGTCGAACAATAGTCTCGGGACGATTGTTCGATTCTTCTGAAGCCTTGAATCTTTTTAGCAGTTCTGTATTTCTCTTCGAACGTCCGCCTGCATGAAGAGGACATGTTCGACCTAGAGGTAAACGCAAGTCCCAGATAATGAATCATACCCTCCCCCCCCTGAGAGTTGATTCTCCCCGGCCAAAACCGAGTTGGTCTGGGGAGGGGCGGCAAGGCCGAACTTTACTGCCGCGGTGGAAAATTACGAATCGTTTTTTTTTAGTTTTTAATGCAGAGAGCAGCGACCCCAGACATGCGACGTCCTGATTTTTTCGGGACGGCATCTTTGCAAGTCCCGACCCTTTCCCCTGGACTGTTTTTTCGTGTCGAGTCGCTTTTACGGTTCCGAGGCCCGGCGAGGGCCCCCCAGGGCCGAAAATAACCAAAAACCTCCAGCCTTTTTTTGTTTGTTTGTTTGTTTTTTTCCCTTCGATGCGATCATGTCTGTGATTCTCACTGGCATAGGGCTAGTCGAGGACTGCGAGCAGCATCCGCTCTGCACCCCCTCTTCCTCCTCCTCCTCCTCCTCCTCCTCCTCCTCCTCCTCCTTGTCCTCCTCCTCCTCCTCCTCCTCCTCCTCCTCCTCCCTCAGAAAGCCTCCTCCTCCTCCTCCTCCTCCTCACCATAACCTCCTCCTCCACCTCCTCCTCCTCTTTCCTCCTCCTCCTCCTCCTCCTTCTCCTCCTTCTCCCAGCCACGGCCAGCGAGCGCATGGCGGCCGCGGCGGCCCTGCCGCCCCGCGGTCCGGGCCAGGGCCCCGTGGCCGGCGGCCGGCGAGGCCGGCGGCCGCCGCCGCCGCCCTGCCTCGCGCTGGACGCCGATTTGGGCGCCGGCGGCGACGAGGGGCCGCAGCTCGGTGGCTCGAAGAGGGGGTCCTGAGAGGAGGACGGCCCGAACCTCCTCGCGTGGTGAAGAAATCACGACGGGAGGCTTTTCACTGTTTTCAGCCTCCAGGGGCCCTTGTCGGGCCTCGGGACCGTCAAGAAACGGCCCAGGATGAAAAACCTGTCCTGCAGGATGAACAACCTGTCCTGGGGAAGGGGTCCAGACCTCTGCGGGTCGACGTTGTGAACAAATCATGACGCCGGGAGTCTGGGAAGGTACCACTACTGCTACCCTTCCCTCGTTTTCTCCTTTTCGGGACCTCGTGGGAGGCCCTCGTCGCCACTGCTGGATTCGCCACGAAATCCTGGTCAGAACGCGCCCCGGGCGAGGTCTGAGGGGTAACGGTATCGGTGCCTTCTGATCTCCCCAGGTTCTGCTGGGGAGTGGGAAGCGCACCGCCACCACAACCTACCCAGAGATCTGGCGCTCCAACAAAAATGAGAGCGGGCGGTTTTTGGCAGTTTTCGGCCTCTAGGGGCCCTCGCTGGGCCTCGGGACCGTCAAAACACGACTTGGGACGAGAAACCGGCCCTAGAGAGGTGGTCCACACCTCCCGGGCCCATGCGTCGAAATAATTGGAGCAGCGAGATGCCTGGGTAGGGGGGTACCGATACCGCTACCCTTCCTTCGTTTTCCTCAATTGGGGGCCTCCTGGGAGGCCCTCGTCGCCACCGCTGGATTCGCCTCGAGATCCTGATCAGAACGCACTTCGGGAGAGGTCGGGGGGATAGCGGTATCGGTGCCTTTCTCCCCAGGTCTTGCTTGGGAGCGGGGGGCGCACCGCAGGGGGATCCATGATGAGCTGGTGTGCGGGGTGCGGGTGTGCACGATGTGCCGCGAGAGCGCCCGAAGCGACATGCACCACCACCGCCCCAGACCAACCTCTGCCTCCATCCTCAGGTGGTGGTGGTGGTGGTGGTGGTGGTGGTGGTGGTGTTGGTGTTTCGTTTCCTTCTCCCTGTCCTGAGGGATGGGGGCCTAGGTCATTGCTTACCTAGCTACCCCCACCCGACCCGAGGGCCCTGGACCCTAGACCACGCCACCATTTCGAGTTGGGGGGTGTACGGGGTTCATCGTGCTTCCTCAATGTGTGGAGTGCCCACCCACAGGAAATCGACGAGCCCAACGGTGACTTCGGGCTGGGATTGGGGGTGGCCTGGTAGGCAGTCGCTGAAGCTAGCGAGGGGTCCAAGGGTGGATTTACGTTGTTTGAGGCACCTCGCCCTCAGGACCGAGGAGGAGGAGGAGGAGGAGGAGGAGGAGGAGGAGGAGGGGAGGAGGAGGAGGAGGAGGAGGAGGCGGAGGAGGAGGAGGAGGGGCGAGGGGGAGGGGGAGGGGAGGGGGAGGGGGAGGGGGAGGGGGAGGGGGCAGGACCCCCTCTTCAAGCCACCGATCAGCAGTTCAGCGTGGCCACGCCAGTGAGGGCCGCGGGCGGCGCCAGGCGGCACTACATGTCGGGCGTGGCTGGAGGCGCCCCTGGCCCGAGGTGGGGCCCCAGGGAGTTCGGGGACCGCAGAAGAAGAAGAAGAGGGCATACAGCTCAACTCCCGCCCCAAGGGGCCCCCAAGAGCCCCCCAAGAGGCCCCAGGGGAGCGCAAGACGCCGCCAAGGAGCCCCAAGACGCTCCCAAGAAGCGCCCAAGAGGCCCCCAAGACGGCCCCAAGAGGCCCCAAATAGCGCTCCAGGGCCAGCGGAATGAGCGAAGCGATTAAATAAGAAAAGGGCATACACATCAACTTTCGACGGTCCGCGCGGATTTCTTGAGTCTGCGCCGGGCCCCCTTGGCGGTACCTCCGGCGCCGCCCCTGGCGCGCTCGGCGCACCGGGGACGGGGGTCCAGCGCGCATCCAACAGGGGGCCACATGCGAACCCTGCCCCTACCCCCCACGATTTCTGAGGGGGAGGGTGGGGTTCACTTCGCTCGGGAGCTCCCTCCCCCTCAGAAATCGTGGGCGGTAGGGGTAGAGTTTGCATGTGGCCCCCTAAGCGCGGATCCAATGAGTCCGCGCAGACCTCCAACCATTTATGTTTATGCCAGTTGCGTGTATGCCGTTTATCGTACTTCCAAGAGAGGCGCAGGGGGTTCTCCCGAGCGCCCCTCGCGGGGGCCGGAGGGCCTCACGGGGATCCAGAGACGTGGCCACCGGCGGGGGGCCGCTTGGGCCAGGACCACTTCTGCAGATGTCCGGTCTGGGGATCTTCCTGGGGCTCACCTAACTAGGGGGCCACATGCGAACCCTGCCCCTACCCCCCACGACTCCTGAGGGGGGTAGGGGTAGGGTTCGCATGTGGCCCCCTGCTAACGGTTCTGCCTGACTCTGAATCGACTCGAGTTCGACTCCAGGTCGACCGTAGCTTGACTCGAGTTGGACTCTAGTCGGCGGACGTTCGACGCAGCATCGCAGCATGAGTGGAGCTAGTGGCTCCAGGAAGGTCCCCAGAACGAGCATGTGATCTGCAGCGCGCACAACGGGATGGGAGGAGGGGGGGCGACTTCTTGGAAGGAAGCTGCTTCTTGGAAGGCGCGGGCCTTGTCTGGAGATGTAGGGCCGGCGTCTTCCAAGAAGCATCCCCCCTCCCCGTAACCCCTTGTGCGCGCCGCCATCCCAGGCATCTGGCCGCTCCAGTTCGTTCGACGCATGGGCCCCGGAGGTGTGGACCACTCCATTGGGGCCGGTTTCTCGCCCTGGGCGGTTCTCTGACGCCCCCAGAGGCCCGGCGAGGGCCCCCGGGGGCCGAACACCGCCAACCACCGCCCGCTCGCACTCTCTGCTGGAGCGTCAGACCCCTGGGAACGCACACCTCTCCGACGAAGGCATCTATACACCACCACCGTGCCAGGTCAGGGCCATCCTGGGCCGTAGGATGGTGTATAGACCCTCCTGGCTCGGCCAGGAGGGCGTATACACCATCCTAGGGCCCAGGATGGTCCTGACCTGGCACGGTGGTGGTGTATAGATGCTCTCTGCGAAACCTCCAGCAGCGCCCGATGCATGGGCACGCCGACCGCCGGGGCCATCCTCAGCGCCTTCCTGGACCTCGGCGGCGGGGGCGGCCTCAGCCCGCGGGAGGCGGCGGGGCCACCGCTGGACTTCGACGCCGCCGCGGCCGCGCTCGACCCCGAGGCTGGCACCGCCCGATCATGCCGATGCCACGTGTGCGTCGGCCTGCAGGGTCGACGCCCGCGCCCCCCTTTCGAGCCTCTCGAGCGCAGCCCCAAGTCCAGCGCAGCCCCAAGCGCCCCCCCCCTCGCCTCCCTCCCCTCCCCTCTCCTTCCCCTTGCTCCCTCCCCCTCCCCTCCCTCCCCTCCCTCCCTTCCCTCCCTCCCTGCCAATCTCCATCCCCTCCTCTCCCCCCTCCCTGGCTCTGTCTGAGCCGAGCATGGGGGGAGCCTGTCCCCCCTCCTCCCCCTCCCTCCCTCCCTCTTTCCCTCCTCCTCCTCCTCCTCTTCATCCTCTTCCTCCTCCTCCTCCTCCTCCTCCTCCTCCTCCCCCTCCTCCTCCTCTGCCTAGGCTCACTTTAAAACCGCGGTGGCGTCAAGGCACGGCTTGCTCGAGATGTTCCAAGGGGATTTCACGAACTTCTCGGCCACGGTCCGTTCGCGGCTGGACCGGATCTATTTCAACCGCGACGTGGCCGAGCAGTTGGATCGTCGCGTCGTGGCCGCAGCCTTTAATAGTGTCTGGACTTATCCCACCATCGTGTGGTTCATTTTGAACGTCTCGCGCCAGCCTGGGCAGACGACCGTGACCGCCCACTTGCGCAGCGAGCACTCCAGCATAAGGACTTCGGGAGGCGTCTGATGTTGAGTTTCAACGAGGCGCTGACAGCATTATCAGAGCCTTCGCCGTTCCAGCAGTTCGTTTTGTGAAAATCCTCCATACGCCAAGTCGCACGCCGGCTGGATAACGACTTCACGACCATACCTACCGCCCAGGATGCGGAGGATAAGCTAGGGGTTGTCTTGAACATGGTCCAGGGGATCGAGGGCGCTCGGCCTTCGGAGGTTTCCTTGTGTCTTACCAGGTCCCCGTAGTCCAGGCGCTATGTCGAGAATCCGTACGACTTTGACGGCAACTTGTCCCATAAGTATGTTATCCCGTTTTTGTCAATTCGCTGTCCAACTTGCTCGGGGCCACGTCGTGGAAGAGCTTCGGAGTTCTCGGGCCGATCTCACTGGCCAGGGCGCTTTCAAAGCACAGGTTGCACCTCAGAAGTCAACCGCCAGATTTTTCGTTTTGCCCCTGGCCGGGGCAGCGGGCTCAGCGCCATCCTCAAATGCGACGGCGAGGTGACCACAGACTGAGGACATGGCTCGCTCGTCGGATGCACAGTTGCTGAAGACTTTCCGGGCGCAGGGTTTTCCGGCGGGGAGCTGCTGAGCTGCTGGGCCAGTGGTTGGAGGGCGACGCGGGCGCCGGGCCGCTTGCGGACGTGGTGAACGCGCGGCTGTCTGGCGTGCGACTCCGGGAGTCCACGCCCTCAAGACTTCGAGCAACGCGGCCCCGGGCCCCGACGGAATCCCTTCTCTGGCGTGGCGCTGGCGCGCCAAGGTCTCAGCGTGCTCAGTGCTCAACGCGGCGCGCTGCGCCCGCGGGGGCGGCGCGGCGGGCGCCGTCGAGGAGGGGGCCGCGGAGTGCAGCGCCAGCCTGGTGTTCTTCCTCCCCAAGCAGCCTGCTGGCGCTCTCCCGGCCAGGGAGGGCTTTTACACGCCTGCGGAAATCCGCCCCCTGAGCGTGGCGAGCGCGGATCATCGATTCATTTCGAACGCGGCTTGTGCCGCCAGTGAGCAAGCTGTCAGCCAGGGTATTCAAGATGTTCAGCGAGGTTTCTTCGCTGGCCGCTCCATGCTTGCCGCTCTGGTTGACGTGGGTGAGGCAATGCTCCGCGCGGCGCTCGGCAGCTCAACGGGGGGTCCCTGTCTTTCGATTTCGCGACCGCATTCGTGTCCATCGAGCGCGGGTTCATGTTCCGCGGCTTCGACTACCTTGCATGGCCAGTTTTGGTTAGAGGCTGCGTGACCGGCTTGTATTCCGAATACTCTTGTGCCATCGCAACGGGGGCGGGCCGAGCATTGTTGCTTCAATGTCACGAGGGGTGTTCGGCAGGGCTGCCCGCTGTCGCCACTCCTGTTCGCGGCCGCGATCGACATTTTCCTTCGCGAGATCGCGCGTCTACTTCCAGACGGCGTCCTTCGTGGTTGCGCGGGCGACGTGGCGCTCGCCGTCGATGGGCCTGCCTGCTGGTGGGGAAAAGTATCATCGCCGACTTCGAGCGCGTCGCTGGGCTCGCCCTGGACCTTCGCAAGACGGTCTTCATCCCGCTCTTCCCCGCGACCCTCGTCGAGGCGCTGGGCCTGGCCGAGATCGCTCCGCTTTCGGGGGGCGCTGGAGGTCGATTTCGCCGCGAAATACTTCGGCGACTTCATCGGGCAAGGGGCAAAGCAGCGCCCGTGGGACGCCGCCTTCGTGAAATACCGGGGCGGCGCGTAGACCCGGCGATCGCCGTGCGTGGGCATGCTGAACGTGATCGAAGCGTATTGGATTTGCGAGTGGTCGGTCTTCTTGTTCCGCGCGCAGCTTGGCCCATTGCCGCCGAACTTTGCCGATAATCGGCCCAGGGATTGGATGCCTCCTGAACGACTCGAATGCATCGCGCTGGTTTGCTTTCCCAGCGAGTTGTGCGACGTCCAATTCGCGTCTTATGCCGTTTGTGCACGAGTCGCCCTGCGTGGGATTTGCAAACGACGGCGGGCTCCAGGTCGCGATCATGACGAACGCATTTCGTAGCCTTGCCGTGGCCACCAATGACGACGCCGCCCGCGTGGCCGATGTTCACGAGTGGCGCCAGAACAGCTTCCTCGTCTCGCAGGGGTCATTCAGATGCACGGAGCGGCCGCGGGTGGGCACGTCTGGGTGGGCACCCGTAGGTGGGGTGGCAGGCCAGAGCTGCGCGACTGGTCCGACCCGGCTTTCCCCTTGCAGCCTCGACGGATTTCCGTCGCGAGCAACGCCGATGCGAAGTTCGGGCACCGCCCCTGGGCACTGGGTGTCGCGATGGGCTCGCGTCGCCCAGACCGTGTCGGTCGGGCCTCGTCGCGCCCAGAGTCCCGGCTGCAGCAGTGCGGGCCGCCTGCAATGGCTGGGTGACCTCGCGTCCATTGCAGGGTCGCTCCTGGTGCATCATGGGCTGCGCTGTAGAGGGCGCGATTGAGCATGACGCGTTCTGCCGATCCTATCATGGGTGCTGCTCGCGGTGCCGCGGCCTCTGGCGCCCGTCAATGGAGCGCGATCTGGAGGACGTCGTCGGGGTCGACTGGCCCTCGCTGTTATTGTGGAGCAACCCGTTGTTGACGGAGGCGGAGAAGAGCTCTCCGAGGGTGATCTCCATGTACGCCCTGGACACGACGCACGTGTAGGTCCGCCGCGGACACAGGGTGGCCGAGGCCGTGAACGCTTTCCGAGGCCACCTCAGCGAGGCCACGCGGCGCCGCCCGAGGTCCACGGAACTGACGGTTAGGGCCTTCGCCGCGCGGGGCGCGCGGAAAAATGCAGCCTGATTCCCAATGGTGTTTTGTCTCTGGATGCTTTGTTCTCTTCCCTTTTCCCTGTTTCGCCTGCTGTGCTATCGCGCGCCGTGGAGAGTGGACTATTTGTGCGACGTCCGTCGATGCCTGCTTGGGCCGTGAACGTTTCAGACAGACGCCCAGCCGCGCATTGCGTCAGAGGTTCCTGCGCTGCGCGTGTACTGCCTTTCCTGTGGGCGGAAATTCGGGCGGACGTTCCTCCCCTCCTTCTCTTCCTGCCCCTCCTCGTCGTCCTCCTTTTCCTCCTTGTCCTCCTCTTCCTACTGCTGTCCTGGCAGCGTGGCCGATGCGAGGGCCACAGGTGGGTTGCCTGCACCTTGAGCCCGGGCCTTTGTCAGTTTCCGCTGGTCTTCAGGCCCCGCTGGATCGCACGTGGCTTTGTTTGGCGGTTTTCGCTCCACGATCTTACCTCCCCGTCCGCCAGTAGCCCAGGTGGGTAAGGCCGAAACCCCAGGCGACGACTGGCGTCGCGAGTTGTGCGGCATCGCAGGCAGACTCTTGGAACCACAGTGGGTGGTAACGTGCTTTGCGCGAAACGCGATTCAGCAGGATCTGTATCTTCCCCCCCTCCTCTCTGTCTTCCTTCTCTTGCCCCCCGGAGGCGGGGCGCTGGCTAAACCTGCTGGGGTGGGCCCGCCCCCTGCCTCCTCTGCTTGCTCCTCCCCGTCTCGCTCCAGTGCGCCTTGCCGGCGGTCGCACGGAAGTCGCATGCCGTGGGAAAGGCTGGTGGGGGATTTTTTTTTTCGCTCTTTACTTCATCGATGCTGTGCCCTATCGTGCCACGTCCATCTGCACGATTCTCGAGGGCATGTTGCCTTTGCCTTGGCGGTGAGGTTGTCTCTGCTCTTGTCGTCTTCCTCCTCCCGCTCTTTCCTTTCCCTTGTTTTAGCAATAGTGAATGTATTGCTTGGCCCTTGAGGCTGTTCAATGCGGGTCTGTCGCGCTACAGTTTGGCAGACTGGGGGATGACACGTTTTAGGGAGAATTCATTCCCTTCGCCCTTTGGTATCCCTCCTATTTTCCTCCTCCGCCTCTTTTGTCTGCTTCCTTTTCGTTTCTCCGATTCCTCCTTTCTGGTTCTGCTTCACGTTTTCGATGCAGTGCGAGTGGATCATGAGTGCTGGCTGTTTCGTTTCCGTCAGTTTTCTTCCTTATTCCCCCAAGAGGTGCGCTACAAACTAGACTTAAGTCGGGCGTGTCCCGCGACAGGAGGAATATTCCAACATAGTCAGAACATAGTAAAGGAAAGTTGTTTGGAGTAGTTTTGAGCATTTTTTGTGCATTGACTATTTTTAATTTCTCATCGTAAATCCGCCTGTAGGAGGACACGCCCGAGCTAAGACTATACGATTCTCACAGCAACAGCTCCGCGGCGAGAGCGCTCTTCTGGCCCCCGCCGCTCGGGAGACGACGCGCCACAGGACTCGTGCGCATCACACGCTCGCGATGGACGTGCGCATCCAGCATCAGCACGTGCCGCCGTCGCCGTCGCCGTCGCCGCCGCCGTCGCCGTCGTCGCCGCCGCCGTCGTCGCCGTCGTCGCCGCCGCCGTCGCCGCCGCCGTCGCCGCCGTGGCGCCGGCGCGCCCCGCCGCGCCCCGCGAGGGCTGCTGGCGCGAGGCCGCGGGCCCCCCGCTGGACTTCGACGAGGCCATGGCGCTGCTCGCGCGGCGGGCGGCGGCCGAGGCCGCGGCCGCGCCCGAGGCGGTG